TTCGGGCGTCGTGTTTCCATAAAATTTCTCGTTTTCCCAATTCCACTCGTGTTGATATAACTGTATATCAACACGGAAAATGTTTTATATTTGTTAATTCAAATTCTAACAATTAAATTGTTATTGGTGATTTCAATAGTTTTCGTTTTTTTTGGACACCCTGACCCCTGTATAGTAACGACGGAATTCTTGCTTGACAGCGGTCCCGATACGGTCGCTTAAACTAAATTACCTCTTCAAGACTAGGTAGACTTCTAGAGACCAACTTTGCACTTCGTATGAGAACATTGCCATTCGAATTGTAGCAGAACACAGAGTCCGTGTCAGGCTGTGCAAAATAAAAACGCAAAAAATTGTTTACCGAACTACGCAAAAGTAGATGAAACATCACTGGAAGAAATAATGAAATCCATACTATAGATAGATGTTCAAAAATTACAGTACATATGAGATCAAGCAGAATTCACCGTATAGATTTTTGTGGGAAATGGGAAATCCTTGGAAGCAGTTACCGTTACAGTATTATATTTATCAGATAATTAGACAATTGGGTTTATCAGTCGAACCATGCAAGCAATTATTACCTATAATAAGCCATCATATTGCATTAATTTGCTTATTTGCGAACCTGTATATAATGATACTGGCAATCTAACCTGATGAATTTATTTGATCCAGTTAGGGGAATGTATCAAAAATAACTCAGTCTTATAGCTGGATCAAAATTTATTCATATATAGGACTTTCAGTACTAATTTGTGAGACCGTGATGTCCAAATTACGCTCTAGTTGTCAACAATAATAATTAAATACTGTATAATTCTCAAATTCATTAATAATTCATGAGCAATTCAACCAATGATAATCACCTATTTGATCACAAGATGCCATTTGGATAACCCGGTGAAACTTGATGAAAGTCACTAGTGTTTTCATCAGATATCTTAATTACGTTATGCTTGGTTAAGAATTCTATTCAAATCAGCAAACGAAAAGATTCTGTTACGTCTCGATTCATTTGAGAAGCCATATAAACAACTCGAGCTTGTGTCTCACCGGGATATCCAAACACTCGAAAACAATGTATGAAAACATACATTGTTTTCTCGTGCTTGGATATCCCGGTGAAACACTAGCTCGCTCTCGTTGTTCATATACAGTATTACGTCAAGGCTAAATTCGCTAATAGAGACATTACAATTTTTCACGAAGCTATGTTCTCAGGCATTTGACCGTATAATTCGGAAATGGGCTATTGCTAGGACTTAAAATCCGGTCCATGAGGTTCCATTTTCCGGTTTGAAATATTACTTCAGTCCCCCATACAATCCCCTTATTGGCTTATTCCTTCATACCATTTCTTTATCGTCACTAAACCCAATCGCGACCCAGTCAGCATTTTTCCCGAACATCTCAAACATTACAAGTTTCGTGGTCGGTTGGTATTTGTAGGTAGCTACGAATTCACAGCTGCTGCCACTACAGCCTGATGCGAAACGTAAACATCCCACTGTTTTACCACAGCCATCAGTTGAGATTCCCTGTAGAAGAGAAAACGACATAAGTTCCGAATATTTCAGTTCCTAGGAAACAGTGGCGTGCTGGGTACTATTTTTCTGGGGGGGCCAGTTGGCTGTCAACAAATATGCGCCCCTATAAGTTTTCGCTTGATAAACGAGGGCCGAAGGCACGAGCCGAGTACCGCAGGTGCGAGGTTTGTCTAGGGGGGTCGGGGGGCATGCCCCCCAGGAAAATTTTTGAATTTAGAGTCTCTGAAATGCCATTTCCTGGACTTTGGGGGAAGATTTGACAGAAATCTGATGGTCAGGAAACGGCATTATAACGTGTCGAAATTTGTAATTTGGTTTGAATTTAGTAGTGGTAGTACTTATATTATGCAATGCTAACAACTTCCAACGATTAATCTAATCCCAATTCTATTCTCTACTGATCGAGTGATCTGAATACAATTACAACATACAGCTCTTTTATACAATAACACACGGACCCCACGCATATGCATTTTAAGGTTTCCCTGCCTGGCTGCCAAAAGGGCGCGTTTCAGCATTATTTCATTACTCGCATTACTCGTGATGTTTCTTGCGCAAACAACTAAATTGCGTACACAACTTTACATTATCATAACTTAAACTATCTAATTTGCGCCGCTCTTGTGAGTCGTGAAGCATAATAAAGGGCATAATACCAGCAAAAAAGGGCATAATTCCCGTGATCGCTTCGAAACCTGACCAATATTCCGGTGATGAGACATTGCGTGTGATCACAGTTCATGTTTCTATATGAACGATTTCGTGTGAGCCGTGAGGTAGCAAATTAGCAAATACGGTTAGACAAAATAGTCTGTATAATTTAATATATCACTTTGTCGTCTATTCGCTTAGTCTGTTTTATAAGCCTATAAACACATCTGTTCTCGGGGGAAGTAACTATATTTTTTATTCGAATGCGTTTTTTCCCACCCACTTTCAAAACTCGGCGCGGGATCGGCGCCCCTTTTTCATTTTTGCGCCCTGCAAGAATTGCCAGCTGGGGGGGCCATGGCCCCCCGGCCCCCCCTGCCAGCACGCCACTGCTAGGAAATCATGCAGCCGTATGACCAAATTCAAACAGCTATATAACAAGTTACGTCTTTTTATGAGATAATTGCACATCCTAGTGATCCTACTGCACGACATGGATGATTTTGGGTTAAAATTTTGTTACGCACGAAAGATTTATTCATAAGCAAAACATTCAGTTATACACAATTAACTTGCTTCATATTACATGAAAAATATAGCTTAATTTATATACCTTGCATGCATGTTATTTTTTTCTTTTTACCAAAACAAAGGACAAACGATATACTAAATATTGACAGGACAGTATAAAGGTACCGTACTCACCCCTTCATTTGGTTCTTCCTTGCCAATATCGCTCGATATTTTGAGATCAACACGTTGCGGCGAAGCACCGCGACGCGATTCTTTTCTAGAGTGGTAATCAATCTCACCACCAGTTATTGCACCTGTCAGTAAAAAGTCTATATTTAGCAAATAACTATAATTAACTTATTCTTCGCAGGCTGTAACCCAACATATAGAGGCCAGCTTTCTGTATGCCACATGGACGAATTAAGAGAACTAAAAACACAAAATTATAACTCAGTTTTAATGTGCACTTACCTTTGGCATAAAGCAAGAAAGCGTCTTGACTAAGGTTGCGTAATTCACTTCCAGCTCCTGGGATGTATGGATGTGTGAACCTGAAAGGTTAAGATGAAAAATATCTAAGTCGTTGACATGTTTTAGAGAAAGAAAGCCGGGGCTGCAAATTGTGCTGTTCACGTGAAAATTTATCAGCTAAGCCTAAGGAAAAGAGGCCTTTGACTATAAAATAGGTTGTGGTAAATATGCTCTTTGTGACGTGGGCGTTAAGGATACTGCCTTTTTGAGCAGGCTGCACAGTTTAACCTTACGGTTTCAACACGTTGTCTATAATCTACTTAAATTTATATTGGCTATAAATTTAAATTTGCTGTTGCAATTTTACTGTCGAATGTTAAATAAAAAGTCTACGAAGATTTCTAGTAGGTCTCTGATCTAGCTCAAAATCTTTGCAATTATTGTAAATATATAGCATACATAAAGTTATTGTACATGGGGAAAATTTATAATTTTTATTTTATTTATATCAAGAGATAATGTTTTGTAATGTATGCATGTAAAGCTGGGCACTTGTGGACAATTTTAAGTCAATCTGAACGTGCACACAGTGGAGTGAAGAATAGAAAATTGCAAAAGTTTAACCAAACTGTATTTGTAGAAGCTAATTATTAAAATTGGTAGACAGGAAAACTCTTTCATTCCAGTTAAGACCATGCAGGAATTGGTGTACATGAATTGCTCCCCATAATATTTTTTGCAAACCAATAAATTGCTTCGAGACACTTTCTTCTTTAAAAATAATCAATCATACTTTCAAGATCTTATGCCAGATCATATCATTTACAGTGACCCCTTCCCTTATTCAAGCTATTTATTCAACTCAGGCGCATAAATCGCGTTATGCATGCATAGACTCGATATACGTCACACATATACCATTATCTAAAGACTGTCTTAGGGGTTGTGCGCCCCTTGATCAGGTTTTCAGGACTGGCCATATTGGTTTATAGTGCCCTTGGTCAGTTTAAGGACTGTCCATAGGGGTTTTGCACTTTTGCACTCCTTGGTCAAGTAAAGGACTGTCCATTGGAAAGTGTTCCTTGGTCAGGATCTCAAAAGAGGTGGTAAAAGGTGTCTGAGTTGTATTCCAAACTAAGGATACGCGCGTTTATGTAAAAACCCCACCGGAAAACTGAGAGAAAACTGAATACAATAAATAATTCATACCTGCATTGAATATTTTGACTGAAAAATGATCTGCCAGTAAGAACAAGATCGTTTGCCTTAACATAAAACATATTGATATATCAATAAAAGAGATACCTGTACATGAAAGCGTATCAGTATTTCTCCCTCTATTTTAATCACTTACTATTTCAAGAGGAGGACGTTGATATTCCCCCGCCGGAATTCGTGAGCTTCTTATAACAACAGTGCTAGACTGGTTATTAATTCTTTGGCACACAACAGCATCTGTATCAGGCTGAAGTACGGAAAAATAACTTGAGACACCCATCGTCAACAATTTATTGTCAATTTTGTTTCCATGCATGAATGCAAAACTATTATTATACGTATACAGCTCTGTTTAAACATCATCAGTATATTGAACCCATTTGTAGAAAGGAACAACACTATATAGGTGTTCAATAATTGTTGTTTTACCCTGCTCGATAAAAACACTGTTGCTACATTATTGATTCCACTGGTAAACAAGAAACAACAATGAAAACAACCTTGCTAATCTATCATGAATATATCAATTTATTCTGTGTTGGTGTAGTGTACTCAGGTGAATATGATATTTGTGGTGTTACTCTGAGTGTATATCCACACCGGGCGAGCTTCGAACCTACGACCTTTGGAATACTAGCCCAATGCTCTTCCAACTGAGCTACGCGGTCAGGACGGTTCGAGTAAGTGATATTTCGGAACAGAATCTAGTTCCTTCAATACCAATGTATTCTAGTAATATGAATTTATTCTGTGTTGGTGTAGTGTACTCAGGTGAATATGATATTTGTGGTGTTACTCTGAGTGTATATCCACACCGGGCGAGCTTGAAAAATATGCCCGGCCACGGTGGGATTCGAACCTACTACCTTTGGAATACTAGTGGAAACAGTGTAGGAAACAGTAACACCACAAATATCATATTCACCTGAGTACACTACACCAAGTAAGAGTTAGATACCGAAAACGGAGGCTCTTAGTCAGATACAAACCCGAGGGGCCGTAGGCCCCGAGGGATTTATCTGACTAAGAGCCGACGTTTGAGGTATCTAACTAACTTAGTTCATATTTGTAAGGATTGACCCACAATGAAATTTACTTTATGATATGTATTGTTCTTTAAATGAGTTTGAATTACCATGGTTGTAATAAAAACAAACAGGGCTATTTTGATATCCATCAATTCTCGTGTCGCACTACTGTATACTATCAATGAGAAGTGATTAAATATTCGTTCACCAACCACAATTACGATGAAATATGTTTGAAATAGCTCATACAACCGAGAAGAGCTAACGAAGATTTGTACGGGTTTGTCGAAGCAGAGATTCTCAAGTTGTTCTCAACAGGGTTTTTTTGCAGGATAAAAACCAAATGGGAGGTCTTTCATTGAAATTCAAGACCGAGGCGTGCAGGACCGAGGCTTGAATTTCAATGAAAGACCGACCATTTTCTATTGTCCTTGGGAGGTTGTGGGACGAAATAAGGTTGAACATGCGCATTAAACACGCTTTAATGTGGTTGAGCATGCGTAGTATATCATTTCGCGTCCCACAAGCGAAAGAGCAGATATTACTGTATAAATTCCTTGCACAAGCAAGTTTGATGGTCGGTTCAGCTAGTCCTCGTGCACCGAATGATAAATATTCTACCCAAAGGTAGAGTTTGACGGGCTTTGAGGTACACGGCTGTTGTCTCTTTCTCGGCTCAGAGACGTGCACCGTTTTCTAGTCGAAAAGGAGATGTGGGGTTTGAGTTTGGTTAAAAATTCAAGGTATCTAACTCCATAGTGACCTCCAAAAGGGGTCACTATGGAGCTAGATACCTTGCATTTTTAATTAGGCATTCAATTCTATTCATCAACCCCGCTTTTCCCTGTGGAGATATCAAATCCCTCCCCTTGCTTTTAGATTCTTACCCAAATAAAACCCTATTGAGAACAATAGATATCCGCACAAATATGAACTAACACAGAATAAATTCATATTACTAGAATACATTGGTATTGAAGGAACTAGATTCTGTTCCGAAATATCACTTACTCGAACCGTCCTGACCGCGTAGCTCAGTTGGAAGAGCATTGGGCTAGTATTCCAAAGGTCGTAGGTTCGAATCCCACCGTGGCCGGGCATATTTTTCAAGCTCGCCCGGTGTGGATATACACTCAGAGTAACACCACAAATATGAATATATCGTTAAGTCAAAATTAATAAAACAAAGAATACTGCTTCCTGTTGTTGGAACAAAGGAAATAGAGTCACCACGCATGTTAGAAATTCATAGAAAGATTCCTAGTCAGACTTAAGGCTATGTAGAAATAGGGCATCATACCATTACGTCGTTGTCACTAAAACCAATTGCCACCCAATCAGCCTGCTTTCCAAACATTTCGAAAATTACATGACCACCTTGGTAACGGTACGTTGCCATGTAGCTGCAATTTGTCCCACTACATCCTACTGGATAACGTAAACATCCAACTGTCTTACCACAACCATCTGTTGCAAGTGCATCCTGTACAAAATAAGAAATTGTTAGCACGATAAACTGTTGATAGTGCTACCTAACGAAACAAACTTTTCTTTTCTTCATCAGGGGTTTTCCTATTTTGCTGTACTTTATCCTGCACTCATGCGCAAACCTATAGCCTGATCTCTATATCGTCCGCCATGCCTATAAAAATTACCTGATACCAGAAAACCTCTGCTAACAGTAAAATTCATTTTTGCATGATCAATAAGAAAGCGAAACGAGTTAACCAAATTAGTATAGGTAATCATGCGATGGCGAGTACAATTAGGGATTAATAATAGTACGAGTGATGTTTGGAAATTTTGCCAAAATCACGAGTATCATCAATAATTTTAAAGAACATTTTCGAAATTTACAATAACAATAGTTGGCAATGATAATTAGTTAATGCACCCGAACTAGAGGCTCATGGTACACATGCTCGAGAACTATAGAAGCACGAGGGTCAGTTCTCGGTGGGGAAGGATAACCAGATGGTCGGGCCTGAAAAAACCCCCAACTTCAAAGCACAAGAGATACGTGGCAGGAAGTCCGTTTCAGGAAACTGCAGCAAATTTTGGCGGCTAACACCAAAACACCTTCAGAGAGGAGAAGTGAAAACGTAACAACACTCAACAGTGAAGAAATTAACCAAAAGTTAAAACAATGAAATTCGTGCAATATTCAATTAGTTATACTTGACTTACTGATGCTGTTCTTGATTCTACAATTCTTGTTAAATTCACATGATAAGCCGAAACACCACGTTTCGCCCGATGATATTGAATTGAGTTATTTTGAAATGGACCTGAATATTTATGGATTAGAAAGATATCAGCATAGTTTGTAATATCAACAAATAATGCAATTCACGAATAATTTAATACAAAGAACGGTCCACATGCACTCTAGAGACGTGCATGCATGTTCAACGAAGTCTAAGGACTAAGATTTGATAGTTTTACAAGATTGCTTGCTTGATCCCCGGAATGAGAAATATATAACTATACCTGAAAAATGTGAAAAGAACTTCAAGGTTTCGCGCGAACACTAAATTTCAGAAGAAGAACCTTCGCTCAAAACGTCGAAGTTCTTTTCATATTTTTCAATATCCAAGCTCATGAATATTGTCGTTCATCATACCCACACTGGAACCTCAAATGTCAAGTTGTTATCTTTTTTCATGAATTTCACAACAGTTTTGTATAGTTTGAAATTGTCATGGCGGTCCAGTGCACGAATCATAGATAGTGTTCATGTCTTTGTTTTTGGTCGATCGTATCAACTCCGACCGAAACGTAGATATTTTCTTCATCATTCTATTTCAGGTAGACGAATTGGTGTTCCACAGACTGCTACAAGTATACGTCTAAGCCTTACAGCGATATGGAAATAAAACTTAAGTTTGTTTCATGGATAAAACTTTCAAAATTGTATATAAAAACTCGTTTTATACTAATTTTTCATATCTTGCGTAATTCTTGAAATATGTTGACTGAAAACAATGAGCTGTCCGGCATCTTGGTTTTGGTGACGTCAATAGCAATGTCAGCCATACAAAATCACTCTCTGGTGACCAAATAACAACTAGTAAATGGTATTATGCTTAAAATTATGTCAGTCAATTTGGTATTTTGAAATAGTGATAATTGTGGATTCATAATGACCATTAAAATTAATTTGTGGCCGAATTTGAAACATTTTATGCCAAGCGTGATTGCGCATCTGGGTAAAATATTTGCGTGACCCTGCTTATGACATAACATGCATGTCCATAATAATAACATAATAATCCAAGATGGCGGACAAATTATTTCAGCATTTGAAGAAATTGTACAAACGTTTTTTCCATAATTTTAAAAGTTCTTTCAAATGAGACAAACTAAATTTTTATTGCCCTTTAAGTTACTAGATGCAGGATCATACCTGCGGCATAAATAAGGTAAAATTCGCCATCCAGGTTGTGTAATTTACTGCCATTCATTGGTCGAAATGGATGAGTAAACCTGGAAAAAAATAGTTTGGTATTCTAATTTTATGCGTATCAATTTAATTTAAAGCCATTTAAATTTTCATGCACAGTCACAATATAGAGTGTTTCAAATCCTCTTCACCTGCACGCAACTGAATTTTGATCCATCGAGCTGTAAGTCAGGTTCAAATCGTTGGCCTGCAAATATATAAACATATATAAAATTCATATTTGAAAAAACACGAGGTACTCAAAACGGGATCCCTTTACGTTTTACACTTTACTAGACGCTATATATACTGGGTTAGGGTTACCTAATTAAGGGATAGGATCAATTGCAAGATAAGGTTAAGATAAGAGAAATATTAGGGTATCGATAGGTCACGATTAGTGTTTATATTATAAGGGTTAAGGCGTTAAGGCTAGGATTTTGATAAAGAAGTATATTAAGTATTAAAAATAAAATGTGTTTTCGAATCAGAATTCAAACACTCATTCATAATTCATAAGCTTATTGGCAAATCATGTCAACCATAATATGTCACGTGCAGTGGCTTTAAACCTGATAAAACACTCCTAATTAGTATTCTTTACATAAAGAATACTAATAAGGCAGTATCTATTGTAGTCGTGTCCTCATTAGTATTCTTTATATAAAGAATGCTAATAAGGCAGTATATCTATTGAATTTGTACCAAGGGCGGATTTTCATATTTTTCTCTGGGGTGTTGTTATTTCTCTGGGGGAAACTGGTTGGTTTCTCTGAGGGGTTGGTGATGATCATGTGCAGGAGCGGATCCAGGATTTTTGATGACCGGTTACTACGTTCACCCAACTAATAGGGGGTCAGGGGGCATGCCCCCCGTAAAAATTTTAAAATTTGGGGCTCTGAAACAGCATTTCCTGCGTTCTGGTGTCACTTTAAAAATTAATTTAATGATCAGAAAATACATGTTTTTAAGTGAATTTTTGACTTGAACGTGAATTTAGAATTGAACCTTTTCCGAAGCGTATTAGCTAGTGCCTAGTGATAAAAATATAGGATCCGCTAATTGCTGACACATCGATTTAGATCTACACGCTTTCAATCCAACTCTAACGACGAACTAAAAAACAAACTACAAGAGCGTGAAAGCTTCGCAATCATTTCCCGATTCTCAATCGCCAAAGCAATGATCAGTGGGTCTAAATAACGCTCGGTAGTCCATAAACAAATTTCAATAATAGATTAGACAACATCAATTTTATGAAACAGAAAATTCGTTAAATTAGTTATATACATGGAGGTTATAGATTTTCGTTCTTTGGAAAATCTGACAGGTTTATGTAAACCTGTCAAACCTGTCTGAATTCGCCCCTGGTGTAAATGTGCGAATGCGTGGTGCCGATGAGCACATGAACGTATTTTTTGTAAGTGTGTTTTACTTTTACGTTAATTTGCTGCAAAAAAGCGTATATAGAAACATGTTAATTTTAATATTTCTATCTTATTTAACGGGGGGTGCACATTTATGTTGGGGAGGGGTGCACAATTTCTCTGTGGGGGGGATGGAAAAAAATTGGTGAGGGAGGTACGCACCCCCCCTCCAGAAAACCCGTCCTTGATTTGTACATGTAGTCGTGTTTGAAGCCGTTTAATAAACTCGCAGGTTGTATTTTATTAGGTCTAAAGCCACTCGCGCGCTTTAAACCTTTAAAACATTCCTGCTCATTTATTAAACAGCACTTCAACGTCGGGGAAGTACGAGTTTAGTTAAATAGAAATTGAAATTCTTACATTATCTAAGATGAATAATTGGTTAATTGAAATACTTAAAAAGGTAACGAATCTTCTTTCACATACCTCTTCGAGAATAGGAGGGTTAGTTATTAATTTCACACGTCTAATGAGAAGGCCACTGCTGTTCACGTGACAGATGACTGCCTCAGTGTTGAACTGGAGTTGAGAATTTTTGCATTTAATAAAAGTACATATAGACCTCCTATAATATATGCTGTAGATATAGGAATTTAGTTTTTCAAAGGACACGACTAGAGTTACCACAACACAACACAACACAACACAACACAACACAACACAACACAACACAACACAACACAACACAACACAACAAAACAAAACAAAACAAAACACAACACAACACTGCAATAGAATAGAATATTTAACACTGAATATATACCACGTTCAGTTATAGATACACATGCAGTATGGCGTAATAATGTGATAAGAACAGGCAAAGTCTATGAAGACATGGTCTGAAAACTGAACAGAAGTCATTGGAAAATGTTTTTGTCTGAGATTATGTTACACCGTGCCACCGTGATTGAGCTCGTTGTATTTTCGTATAATGAAGTAATCGTCCAATAGGGATAGCTGAAATCGAACGTGCAACCCACGATGAATAATATTTAATGAAGTTGAGACAAAGGATTTGTGCACGGTGAGGTATAGTTCAACATCAAACAAAGCTTTTCTATGTTGTGGCTTTGAAGTTTGCCAGGCTTCCAGACAATCATATCTTGACAGACTATGAAACAGGAAAGCGGCCCACAAGCCGCGATGTCCTCATAAAAAGTTTTGAAAATTAGCTAATTATGAACAAAGCGCTACTGAAAGGCTTTTAGGGGGGTTTGAACGGGACTAGCTAACAGTCGTGGGTCGTGGGTCGTGGGTAGAATGTCGTGGGTCGTGGGTAGAATGTCGTGGGTCGTGGGTAAAAAGTCGTGGGTCGTGGGTAAAAAGGCGTAAGTCGTGGGTAAAAAGGCGTGGGTCGTGGGTAAAAAGGCGTGGGTCGTGGGTAAAAAGGCGTGGGTCGTGGGTAAAAAGGCGTGGGTCGTGGGTAAAAAATCGTGGGTCCCGAATAAAAAGTCGTGGGTTCCAAGCAAAATATTTCCATATTATTACCTTTCTCCCTTTGGAATGCGTGTTTTTTTTTCTTCTGAGGCTTTCCCAAACTATGCCCAAATATGCATAGCTTAGAGCGCGTTAAGGCCGGGATTTTTATATCGGCAGATCGGTTTATAAATATTATAACCAAGTGTGGATGAAACAGTTCAACTTCAAGCCCCATATAGCTCAAATATTTGGACGTTGTAATCTTATAGACAGATAAATATTGTAATTCTTCAATACGAAATAGTGCTGTCAAGCCTGTCATAAATAGCTAAATTCTGACATTCAGGGCTTCACTAATTTGTTGATCCATGTTCTTACAGTAATAAGCGAGAAATTTCTATGTAACTCTCGTAAATGGTGGTCAGCGGTGAAGAATATTGCCGGTCTTCAGTCTTCTAAGAATGTATCTACAATGATGTTCCAAGGTAAATCCTACTCTGATGCCGATTTAGCAAATTTGCTCAACGACAAGTTCGTTGCTGTAGGGTCCTCCTTACCCAATCTAAACTGGCTCCCCCTTCCCACAAATGACATTCCAGATGATTTCTGCATCTCTGTCGAGGAGACTGAAAAGGCCCTATTATCATCTAAACTTCATTCATCTGCTGGTCCCGATGAAATTCCTTCTTGGCTTCTCCGGGAAAACGCTTCAGTGTTGTGTCGACCTTTGTGTTCTATTTTTAATTCATCAGTTCGTGAAGGATTTGTTCCCTCAATATGGAAGGCAGCAAATATTACACCAGTTCAAAAATCTTCGCCTCCTAAAGATGTTGATTCTGACTTCAGACCAATCTCCCTCACACCAATTATCAGCAAGATTCTTGAATCCTTTCCCTACAAATGGCTACTTGACTCCGTCTCAAAAAAAATTGATTCCTTGCAATTTGGTTCGCTGAAGGGTTCAAGCACTAGTATGGCATTAATCTACATGCTACATAAATGGTTTGAAGCAGCTGACAAACAAGGCAACACTATACGGATTTGTTTACTTGATTTTGCCAAGGCGTTTGATAGATTAGATCATAACATTCTGTTGGAAAAATTGAAAGACATGGAAATTCATCCCGTGTTACTCAACTGGATCGCAAACTTCCTAACAGGCAGACAACAAAGAACCCGTGTTGGTCAGTTCTTTTCTGAGTGGAAGTTTTTAAACGCCGGCGTCCCACAAGGAACGAAGCTTGGCCCGCTATTATTTTTGATCATGATAAATGACTTGGCTGTAGTGGATGAAACTGTTAAATTTGTCGACGATACTAGCCTTTGGGAAATAATATCAAACAATTCCCCTTCCCAGTTACCCGCCAACATCATCAGCTGCTCTGAATGGTCATCAGACAATAATATGAAGTTAAACGTATCAAAGACCAAAGAATTGCGTGTCTGCTTTTCTAAGCTTACTCCATCGTTTGCCCCTATTACCATTCGCGGTCAAGAGGTCGACGTCGTTTCCGAGGCCAAACTATTGGGCGTTGTCCTTTCGGACGACCTCAAATGGAACTGCCATATTGACTACATTTGCAAGAAAGCCGCGAAGCGTTTGTACGGTCTGCGCCTTCTTAAAAGAAATGCTTTACCTTCTCATATTCTGATCTCAACCAATTGTACACATATTCGACCAATTGTCGAATATGCTTGTCAGGTGGGGACTAGCTAACAGTCGTGGGTCGTGGGTCGTGGGTAGATTGTCGTGGGTCGTGGGTAAAAAGTCGTGGGTCGTGGGTAAAAAGTCGTGGGTCGTGGGTAAAAAGTCGTAAGTCGTGGGTAAAAAGGCGTGGGTCGTGGGTAAAAAGGCGTGGGTCGTGGGTAAAAAGGCGTGGGTCGTGGGTAAAAAGGCGTGGGTCGTGGGTAAAAAGGCGTGGGTCGTGGGTAAAAAGGCGTGGGTCGTGGGTAAAAAGGCGTGGGTCGTGGGTAAAAAGGCGTGGGTCGTGGGTAAAAAGGCGTGGGTCGTGGGTAAAAAATCGTGGGTCGCGAATAAAAAGTCGTGAATTCCAAGCAAAATATTTCCATATATTTACCTTTCTCCCTTTGAATGCGTATTTTTTTTTTCTTCTCAGGCTTTCCCAAACTATGCCCAAATATGCATAGCTTAGAGCGCGTTAAGGCCGGGTTTTTGATATCGGCAGATCGGTTTATAAATATTATAACCAAGTGTGGATGAAACAGTTCAACTTCACGCCCCATATAGCTCAAATATTTGGACGTTATAATCTTATAGGCAGATAAATTAGTT